CTGGGGGGAATCTAGGGGCCTGCGGGGGACTGGGGTTCCGGGGGGATTTAGGGACCTGCGGGGGTCTGGGCCCCTGTTGCTTCAACTTTCCTTAGACCCTTTTTACTTTCCAGGTGGTTGGTTCCATGGGTGTTAGTGTCTCCAAGCCCTAGAAGGTGCTGGCCTTTTTTCTGGCATGCCTTACAGGGCCTGTGCATCCAGCTACCTGCTGGAAATTTTCACATGGGACCCCTGATCAGTGTCTGCAAAGCCACTTTCATCTTTCCGTAACCTGACATTCCACCTCTGAGTTAAGAGCTCCGAATCCGAGACCCACCTCAGTTCTTCCTGTCTGTCCTCTCTCCCTTAGTCCCTGCTGTCTTCACTCTGGCTACTGCGTTGATTACTGTCTGAGAGTGCTTTCCTAGTTACAATACGTAGTGGGTCTCTTCAGGCTGGAGCGCCAGTCCAGCAGCTGTCTCTGCCCAGCCTCGGGTGCTCGCCTGTCACCTGGAGCTGCTGCTGTACTTGTTGGGCTGCATTCAGGACTGTGAACCGGGGACTGTGCTTTTATTAGATGTTCCTAGCGTCTAGCAAGAGTGCTGGCCTGTATTATGCACGCTTGAGAAGCGATTGTTGAATGACCGATGAAGTGACATCCCTGAATTACACACGGAAGAAACCATCTTGAAGTCATAATCTTGCTTCCGTTTTAGCGGTAGAAATCCGAGACCTGGGACCCTCAACTCACTTTCCTGTGGCTGCCCACTGACTCATTGGCACAGCAGAGCATTTATCATATGGCAAGTGACATTTTGACATTAACTGATATGTGTGAAACGTCACAGCCTGACTTCCTGCTGCCTCTGACTGGACAGTGGTCAGCTCAGCTCTCCACAAGCTTCTTTTTCTCTCCTTCTAACCAAATCCTTTTCTTCTGCTTTTCTCTGTTTTCCGCTGTCTTGGGGTTGCTGTGAGTACCCTGCTTTTGCTTATCCCAGAACTTCTGAGTTTAAATGACAGATTCTGTAGTTCTGTTTTTCACATGTGTTTCTGCATTTCAGGGAATTTAATGAAGAAAAGAAAGGGCTCTGTAAAGACCCATTTATCTATGAGGTAGGAACAGTTTACTCAAATTTTAAACATGACTCAGTAATCCTAAATTGCAGGTTTTTAAGTCCACCTTATTGAAGTTAATTTATATATAGTACATTTTACCCTTTTAGGGTACATTAGGTAGTTGTGTGACTTGATAACTGTGTTTAGTAATTAACCACCCATAATTAAGGTATAGAATATTTCTGTCATCTCCAAAACATTTTTTCATTCCTTTATAGTCAATTATTTTCCTTCCTCTAGTTCCTGGCAACCACAAATCTGCTTTTTGTCTCTGTAGTTCTACTTTTTCCAGAATGTCATATAAGCAAAATCTTACCACCCTTTGGTTCTGGCTTCTCTTAGTGTAATGCGTTTGCAATTCATCTGTGTTGTTTTGTGTTCCTTCTTATTCTGAGTAATAGTCCATTGTGTGGATGTTCCACAGTTTGATTATCCCTTTATCAAGTGAAGGACATTTGGATTGCTTCCAGTTTTTGATGATGATACATAAAGCTGCTATGAGCATTTATATATTTGTTAAGCATCTAATATGTGCTGAGTGTTCCATAAGTAAACTCCTCAGAGTTGGGGAGAAAACCTATATCCTTGAACTAATTAGCAAATGAGAATAAATTGCATATTATTATTATTATTATTATTATTTTTGAGTCAGAGTCTCACTCTGTCGTCCAGGCTTGAGTACAGTGGCACGCTCACGGCCCCTGAACCTCGACCTACTGGGCTCAGGTGATCCTTCCACCTCAGCCTTCCAACTACCTGAAACCATAGGCAGGCACCACCACGCCTGGCTAATTTTTTTATGTATTGTAAAGACGAGGTCTTACCAAGTTGCCCAGGCTGGTCTCGAACCCCTGAGCTCAGGCAATCATTTCGCCTCTGCCTTCCAAAGTGCTGTGATTACAGGCATGAACCACCACACCCAGCTAAATTACATATTAAAAGACAAGCTGGAGAGAAATCGTAATGAATGATGTGTTAATATTTGTATTTATATCTGTGTGTAACCTATCAAAAACTCTTAAATCACTGGAAATTCATAGAAATGAAAGATTTTATTTATTTATTTTTTTTTTTTGAGTCAGAGTCTCACACTGTCGCCCAAGCTGGAGTGCAGTAGCATGCTCAAGGCCACCACAGCCTTGACCTGCTGGGCTTAGGCAGTCCTTCTGCCTCAGCCTTCCAAGTAGCTGGAACTACAGTCATGATTATGTTTATAAATAAACAAATATATACATATGTAAATTGTATATGTTATATGATTTATGTTACATACTTTATATGTTATATATATATATATATATATACTATGTAGATAGATATCATATATGAAATTTCTTTCTTTTTTTTGAGTAAAAGTCTCACTCTCACCTTGGCTAGAGTTCAGTGGCATGCACACAGCCACCACAACTTTGACCTGCTGGGCTCAGGTGACCCTTTTGCCTCAACCTTCCAAGTAGCTGGAACCATAGGTGCAGGTCATCATGCCCGGCTAATTTTTTGATTTATTGTAGAGATGAGATCTTGCCGTGTTGTCCAGACTGATCTCAAACCCATGAACTCCCCGAGTGCTGGGGTTACAGGTGTGAGCCATAGTGCCCAGCTAAAATGGAGGATTTTCTGAGAAAGGAAAAAATTCTCAAGTATAGACAAAGGGCACAGTAAGTCATCAAGAAAGAAAAATAAGGATATAGTTATCCCTCACTTTCTGAATTTTCAATTATCAAACTCAAGAATCAGATCTAGGTAAATGTATTAATCCTTCCCTACATGAATTCTTGCTCCTTGATTATATGTATTAGTTTCCTAGAGCTGCCATGGCAAAGTACCACAGATTGGCAGCATAAAATATCAAAATGTCTTCTCAGTTCTGAAGAAGTCTGGAATCAAGGTCTCAGCAGGGCCATGTTCCCTCTGATGGTGCTAAGAAACAATCCTTTTTGGCCTCCGGTGGTTCTCAGCAGTCTGGGGTTGCACGACTTGTAGACCTGTCACTCCAATCTCTGCCTCCATAGCCACTTGGCCTTCTCCTTCATGTGTCTATGTATCTAAGTGTCTCTCCTTATAGTATATCAGTCTTTGAGTTCAGGGCTTGCCTAATCCAAGCTAATCCTCATCTTAACTTGATTACAGTTGCAAAGACCCTATTTCAGATGAGGTCACATTCACAGGAACTGGAGGTTAGGACTTCAGGATGTCATTTTGGAGGACCATTCAACCTGCAACAGTCCTGAAACTCAAGAACCTAATAGATTAGAATAACACAGTATCCTTGGCTCTCTGAACTTGGTTTCTCCAGTGCTTCGATATCCAGATAAGACATCAAGCAGATTCAAATATTGAGGGAGATTTCTGATCAATAATCACGTTAGAAACTGCACTTTGCTTAGTCATCAAACAAATGACAAAACAATAAGATATTTTGCTGTGAGATGGTAAAAATGAACAATGAAAATACTCAGTGTGTTGACATAAGTGGTGTAGCTATAAATAGATAGGACATTTGAAAGTCAGTTTAGCAATACCACTGTGATTTTAGGCATTCATCTTAACATAATTCTAGAATGTTCATTTTTTTTAAGCAAAATCTGATACAGACATCTCAACAGATAAATTTCTATTTAAATAGATTTGTTTGTATGCTTGGAAAAAGAATATATACCAGCCAGGCTAATAACTGTAGTGATTATTCTGGACAGTAAAATTATAGGTGGTTTAAAAAAATTTTTTTAAAGCTGTTTTCAAGCTTTTGAATAAACCTGTATTTTTTTTTTTTTTTTTTTTTTTTTTTTTGAGTTGGAGTCTCACTCTGTCGCCCAGACTGGAGCGCAGTGGCCGTTCCCAGCTACCACAGCCTCGACCTGCTGGGCTCCGGCGATCCTTCTGCCTCAGCCTTCCAAGTAGCCGGAATTACAGGCATGCGCTACCACGCCTGGCTGATTTTTTTATTTATTGTAGAGATGAGGTCTCGCTGCCCAGGCGGGTCTTGAACCCGCAGGCTCAGGCAATCCACTCACCTCAACCTCCCAAAGGCACGGGTTTACAGTAAACCTGTATTCTAATCGGAATGAAAATATATATAGTTTCTACATACTGACATATTAAAGTTCCAAAATTTTGTAGTACAATCTAAAGAAAAGTTAATATTTAGTAAAGCTAATTTCATGCTACGTAACCATAGATACAGTGTAGTTAGAGGAAGAGGATGTCAGTGTCCTAAGCAAAGAAAGCTTTACCAACTGGGATGCGCATCAAGTGGGTCTGAAATGAGGATAGGTGTAGCCATAAGAGCTAGCTTTTCTGAACATGAGAAGTAACACGGGCAAAGAGTGAATGAAATCTTAAAATATTATGAGCCATGTGTGGTGGTGTGTGCCTGTAGTCCCAGCTACTTGGGATGTATAGGCAGGAGGATCTCTTGAGCCCAGGAGTTTGAGGCTGCAGTGAGTCATGAACATGCTTGTGAATAGGCACTTCAGCCTGGGCAAGATAGATTTCATCTCTTAAGAAAATGTCCAGTTACTAGCACAGAACTGGTCTTTATTTGTTTAGATAGTACAGATATGTATGCGTCTACATAAGCATTGCTTGATATGTTTTTCACAGACTGATGTCCAAGTACAGTTGATCAGCAAAAATCAGCCAAACCCTTTGAAAGATATTCTAAATGAAAATGAGGTAGTATTCATCGTGGAAAAAGTGGTAAGTAGGGCTTGGGTTTTGTGGTTGTTTGATTCTTGACAACCATACTTTGTTCCTTGGAAATAACCTCACACGTACATATTTTAAAATTGGCATTAGTAAAAGTAGGTTCTAACTTTATTTAGAAGTAAGTAAGTATAGTGCTGATCGCTAGAAATATAATGTGAATCACATATGTAATTTAAAATTTTCTAAACCTCATTAAGGAAAAGTGAAATCATTAAGTCAATAAAATTGACTTATTTCTTTTGTTGTTCAGTTCTGTGAATTTTAACACATAGATTCTTGCAGTTGCCACCACAGTCAAGATACAGAGCAGTGTCATCTCATCAAGAAACTCCCTTGTACTATTCCTTTATAGTCACACCCTCTCCAACTCTGGCTAGTGCTGAGCTTTCCCTCACTGTGTAGCCTGGTCTTCAAGAATGTCATGAGTGCAGTTGTATAGCATGTGACTGTTGGGTCTCGCTTCTTTCACTTAGTGGGGTACGTCTAAGAGTCATCCAAATTGTGGCAGGTATGAGAAGTGATTTCCTTTTACTGCTGAGTTGGGTTCTGTGGTATGGATGGACCATGGTTTATTTGCTCACTTATCCTTTTTTTTTGAGTCAGAATTTCATTCTGTTGCCCAGGCTTAAGTGCGGTGGCACGCTTACAGCCACCACGGCCTCTACCTGCTGGGTTCAGGTGATCCTTCCGCCTTAGCCTTCCAAGTAGCTGGAACTACAGGCGTGTGCTACCATGCCCAACTTTTTTTTTTTTTAACTGTAGAGACGAAGTCTCTCCAGTTTGCCTGGCTGGTCTTGAACCCCTGAGCTCAGGCAGTACTCTCACCCCAGCCTCCCAAAGTGCTGGGATTACAGGCTTGAGCTACCACACCCGGCCTGCTCACTCATTCTTGAGGTACATTCGGGTTGTCTCAGTCCTTGACAATTATGAAGAGAGCTACTGTAACCTTCACGTGCAGGTTTCTGTGTGAGCAGAAGTTTTCTTTACAGCAAACAGGAGTGGGATTGCTGAGTCGGAAATCAAGTTTAGTAATGTTTTAAATTTAATTGAATAGATCTGATATTATCATTTAAACACCTAATTAAATATAAAATTCACTCATGAGATATTTAAGTGCTTTTTCCATACTATGTCTTTGAAATGTTGCATGTGATACTTGCGTCTCATCCAAACTGCTCACAGTTCAGATGCTCACAGCTGGCTAGCTGTTTACTTTACTAAAGGACAGCATGAATAGCTGTGACTCATGAAGTTCTAGTTTGATTTTTGTTTGTTCACTGTAACAAAGGCAACTTCTTATTTACTGCATCAAGTGGCTGAGCAATTGCTGTAGTAATCATTGTTGGGTTTCTTGAGTGCTGTTAATGCTGTCACATCATCTGATTGCCCTGGGCCAGGACGCCCCTCCTTTGGTGACATGCTTACAGAAGTCTTGCTTGTCTTTGGAGCTTCGTGCTGTCTGCTGGCATGCGGGGAACAACACACATCTCCGCTTCATTTGAAATACACATGTGCACATGAAGGCTCCTTTCTGAAGAGGGGACTGTGAGTGCAGGGTTTTGTTACTGCTTTTCTTTGGTGGACAAATGACTTGGAGGGTGATTGCAGGTGAATTCTGTGGTTGAGTCTAGACTTCTGTTTTGGGGAGAAGCGGAAGTGCATGTTTAACAGAAGCTGGACAGCGGAGCCAGCAGCCTAGGCGAGTGCTCTGGTGAAAAGGCAGGCAGGCAAGGGAGCTGATGGCAGTGGGTCAGGGCACTGCCTAGTGAGAGTGCAGCTGGGAGGTGGGGGTGTACCTACAATTAGTGGGGTTCTAGCATTTCTGAATGGGGAACAGTTAAAAAGGCCTTTATTTCAGCAAAGCTCAGTTGAGCTAAAAGCATGAGTTTCTGGCAGTTGGATATTGAAAAGTAAACAGAGGGGAAGATGACATGTCTTGGGGGGCCCCGTGGTTCTAGGAGCTATTTGGAAAGTCAGGTCTGGAAAGGAATGGCAAAAAATATTCAAAGTTGAGGAAACATTGAGGCAGGTCAGCTGTTAAGTCAGCAGAGCATTTACGCCAGAAGAGCTCAGGGTGAGAGTCAGATCTTGCAGCAGAAAGTCTGGGTTCAGATGTTGACTTAGCTGCTCAGCCGTTGATCTCCCCATTCATTGGTCTCCCCGTACCCTCAGCCGTGTGACTCTAGGCAACCTTGTGGCCTCTTGCTGCCTCACGCTTCCCATGTGTGAAATAGGGCTGACAGTAATGTCCATCTCAGGGCTTTTATGAAGAATAAAAGAGAACTCGTACATAATGCTCAAAAAATGTCAACTCTCATCATTATTGTCATTGGCAAGGCTTTTGTAAGGATATCTGAACCCAGCAACAAGTGAGAACTGATGACCCTAAGAGGGACAGTCGCCAGGAGTGAGTCTTCAACCCAGCAAGGTCCTCCAGCTTGGGGAACCAGAATCTACAACATCTGGGGGCCCCCACGCATGTCCCGGGGCTTTTGCTTTAGCTGACCACTGTACATGTTGGTGCACTTCCTGTTCTGATGGTATCACAGCCTCCCTCACCAGTAGCAGCTGAGATCGGTGTCTTTATAGATAGCAGGAATGTGTCTGAGGGTGGGATTTGGTGGCACCCAGCTAAACTGCAGCTGTCCTTGCCATAACCCAGTCATTGGGCTGAAGGGATGGATTCACAATGTTCTTTGTTCTGGTGCACCCTGGCCTCGTAAAGAGTTGACCACTCTCTTAAGTGTTCTTCTGTCTGGTTAAATAACTAAGAACATTTAAAAAGCCTTTAGAAAAGGAAGAAACGAACCATGTTGAAGAACTTCAGTCTGAAGAAACTGCTATTTCTGATTTCTCCATTGGTGACAATGTGGGACCACTTGCTTTACCAGTTGGGAGAGCAAGGTAAGTTTCTCTCAGTGAGGGGTAGGGGTGGCAGGTGAGATTTAGACGCCATCGGGTGCCTTCAGCATGCTATGGCCATAGGCAGCGGGTGGTCTTAAGCAGGATTGGCTTATAAACATCAGGACATGTACAACTGGCCAGGTGTCTTCCTTCTTCCTGCCCCCCATTGTGCTCCCAACTCTGGGGACAGCTGCTGAAGACCCCCTCGTTCCTACCACAACCAGGAGCCCTCCCTTCCCTTCCACACTCTCCAGTCCATGCTGCTGTGCCGGACTTTGTTGCCTGCCTGTATCTCATCCGTCCCCTCCAGTCTTTCTTCCTCACTACTGCCTGAGTGGTCTGCATGAGGCAAAAGTTATCACTGCAGTGACTCTTCATTGCCTTCATGGTAAAATCCAGATTCCTTCAGAGTGACGTGTGGGAACCTGTGGTCCTCCACCAGGGAGTCGGAAATACATGGGTCTCTTTTGGGTTGTCACAATGACTGAAAGGAGCTGCTGACTTTTGCTGGGCCTGGCTCTGGGGGTAAATGTCCACAACACGGGTGAGGAGTTAGCCCTCCCAGGATGCAGCAGTGCCTGTCAGAAATGCTGGTGCCTCTGGCTGCCTCCTTAGCTCCACAGGTAATGCACATGGTTCCTCTGCAGCCTCCCCGCCTCCAGAGCCAGAGTCCTGTTGTCAGGGAGTTCTGGAGGATAGGATCATGTTGATAGTGACAGCAGGTGTTCACAAAACAACTTTCCTTCGTGGTGTTTTGGATTTCAGTACCTTTGGCCTGTTTTCTCCCCCCCAACGACTAAGACATTCCTGACTTGTGCTCTGCAGCCAGTGGTGGTGGGTCCATCCACATGCCTGTCATTTCTTCACCCTCCCTTCTCCTGCACCTCAGACCTTCCTCCTGGGATGGCTCACTTCCCTAGAAAGGCCTTTCCCAAACGTCTGTTGGTAATAAATTCACTTTCAAATGAAGTATTGACAGTATTGGAGGCATTGTGCTCTTTTACCCCTAAATAAGTCCTATGTAGGAGGGGGACCACCAAAAAAATAGGAATTTATTTAAAATTGTGTACCTATTCTTCTATGTTTAAACTTCATTCACCTTCAAAGTACTCTCTGTTTAGTGCAATATACCTACTGAGACACTTTTTCTACTGCTCAAAACAGTTTTAGAGCTCATCAGTTTGGATACCTTTTAATGCTTCTGTCATTTTTTTTTTTACCTCTTCCACATCAGCAAAACAAAGTCCCCTTTGAGGACTTTGTTCATTCAGGGAAACAAAAAAAAATCACTTGGGGTGAGATCAGGTGAATGGGGAGAGTGGGGCACAGGGGTTATGCCATTTTGGGTCAAAAACTGCTGAACGCTCAGTGTGGTATGGCAGGAGCTCTCATAAATCACCCATCATGAAATGGGTAAATGCACAGAAAGAGTCTCCAAAAAAATTCATGAAAGCCCAACACAGCCTCTCATAACAATGCTAGCTGGTACACATGCTGATGGGCTCCTAGAACTCTTACCTTGTGGAGGAAGCCTGTACTACAAGGGTCCTGCCCTCCAAAGGATAATTCTGATTTTTTCTAGTCCCCTCTTGTATTCCCTAAGACTTACTACCTTCTCTAGCATAATCCCAGATCAATTTGGAGAGTGAGCATTGTTACAGCACTGTCATCTTGTTCCAAACCCACATTACAATTCCTCAAGTGACAGGGACAGGTGGTGTCCAGCCTTTCTGTACTGCTTGGCTCCTGCTGATCTCTCCAGATGAGCCTCCCTCCCACTGACCCCGGCCCTCACCTCAGGGCAGCTCCAGTTCCATCCTGCCCTGTCACCTTCTGATATGTTAGGATTTGCTGGGATGCCCTTCCGTGTCCCTTCTGGGGGAACGTGCATATACCTGCATCTTGATGCTTAGTTTCAGGGTGATTGTGTCTGTGAGACCCTTCATATCCTTTCTCTCTCTCTCTCTTTTTTTTTTTTTTTGAGTTGGAGTCTCCATCGCCCAGGCTGGAGTACAGTGGCACACTCATAGCCACCCCAGTGTCGACCTGCTGGGCTCAGGTGATCTTCCGCCTCAGTCTTCCAAGTAGCTGAAACTACAGGCACACGCTACCATGCCCGGCTAATTTTTGATTTAGTAGAGATGAGGTCTCGCAAAGTAGCCCAGGCTGGTCGTGAACCCGTGGGCTCAGGCAGTCCTCTCACCTCAGCCTCCCAGAGTGCTGGGATTACAGGCTTAAGCCACTGCACCTGGTCCATATATTTTCAAAAGGGATTTCTGGGTTGATTGGCAATCTGCCTGCAGTTTGTTCTTACTCTTGTTTTAAAGGCAGCTGATTGGACTGTACACCATGGCTCACAATCCTCACATGACCCACCTGAGGGTTGGCCTACCAACTGTGGCCCTTCCTCCCCTTTGGGTGAGATGTGACAGCTCCGACCCTGAAGGCACCTGCTGGCTGGGAGCTGAGCTTACCACAGCAGGCAGCAGCATCACAGGCATCATCTTACATGTGGTCAGCTGTAAAGGTGAGTGCTCACTTGTTACAAGGAGTATGTGTTTATATATTTATACAGGTCTGTTCTATAGTTTCAACTGAAAACTAGTGTTGTCAAAGGGAGGCGCACATAGTCAAACTTGCATTGAGTTTTGTAGTGTGTGACTTGTGCACATCGACGGTATTCCAGAAACAGGTCTCCAGAAGGCTGGACAGGAGTTTTGCATCTGTTTTGTTTGGGTCTCACTATATTGCCCAGACCAGAGTGCAGTGGTGCAATCATAGCTCACTGCAGCCATGAACTCCTAGGCTCAAGTGATCCTCTTCCCTCAGCATCCTGGGTAGCTGGGACTACAGTTACCACCACACCCAGCAAATTAAAAAAATTTTTTTTGTAGAGACGAGGTCTTGTCATGTTGTCCTGTCTGGTCTTGAACTCCTGTCCTCAAGCTATCCTCCTATCTCAGCCTCCTGAGTAGCTGAGATTATAGGCACAAGTCACTGTGCCCAGCTGTTGTACTTTCATTTTTTTTTTTTGAATTGAAGTCTCTGTCGCTCAGGTTGGGGTGCAGTGGCGTCATCATGGCTACTGCAGCCTCAAGCTGATGGGCTCAGGTGATTCTTCTACCTCAGCTTTCCAAGTAGCTAGGACTACAGGTGCTCACTACCATACCTGACTAATTTTTATTATTTGAGTTGAAGTCTCTGTCACCCAGGCACACTCACGGCCACCCCAATGTCAACCTGCTAGGCTCAGATAGTCCTTCTGCCTTGGCCTTCCAAGTAGCCAGAACTACAGGCACGTACTACCCTGCCTGGCTAATTTTTTGGTTTATTGTAGAGATGAAGTCTCACCAAGTCGCCCAGGCTGTCCTCAAACCCATGGGCTCAGGCAGTCCCCTCACTTAGCCTCCCAAAATGCTGGGATTACAGACTTGAGCCACCGCACCTGGCCATGACTATTCTTCTGATTGATTGTAGAGATGAGGTCTCACCAAGTTGCCTAGGCTGGTCTTGAACTCCTGAGCTCAGGCAATCCTCTCACCTCGACCTGGGATTACGCGCGTGAGCTACTATGCTCAGTCGTAAACATGTCACTCATCTGTGATTTAAGATTTAATTTCATTAATTCTTACTGCTGAGTTGTGTTGCCTTCAGAATGTAAGGATCGTGATTTTCTGGTTCTCTCTAACAATGTAATTTTAATCATACCTTTATATTTTTTTCTTTCATGCCCTGTAGCTGATAAAAATTATTCTATAACTCTTGAAAACCTAAAAAATTCACACAAGAAAAGACATCACTTGTCTGCTGTGAGTATTTCACTTCTGCTCCTATTATTTTCTTCAAACTGTTATCGACCTATCTTCCTGTTGAAAGATTCTTTTCACTCCTAGTATGACTAGATATTTTTGTGTAGTATAAAAAGGTATGTATTTTTACATCAGCTAATGACGAAAATTAAAATGTCTGCCTTCTTGCCTTTCAACTGTGTTTGTGGTTTAAAAGAATTGTCTTTCTCCATTTGGGATAGAAATATGGGGTGTGGTGCTGCTGCTTCTCAGGGGATGAGGACCAAAGTGTCTGAGGGTGGGCTTAGGCTGTGTGACTCATGGCTGAAGGTCTGCCGGGCCTTCCAGGTGACATCCCGGGGCTCTGCCCAGTATGAGCTCTTCAAGTCCACAGCCTTGGATGACACGGCCACCACGTCCCAGAGCGCCATCACCCTTGATCTGTCCTGGAGTCCTGTGGATGAGCTTCTTCAGACCCCTCCGCTCTCCTCTGCTGCAGTGCTGGTAGGGCCTGTGTTCTCCTGGTTTCCTGTTCCCCACGTGTTGCCTGCCTGCTTGTTGCTGGGCTGCCTGCCTCCCTGCCTCCTGCCTTGGCAGCTCCTGGTGAGTCTGCGCAATTAGAGAGGCTGGCCATGCCCCTGCAGTCTCACCAGGTGTCCAGGGGGTGTGTCAGGTGATTTGAACCATCTGTTTCCCTTCACCCTGTATTTATTTAACTTTGAAATCTTTTAGTGATGAGTCAAGTCTCTAGAGGGGACTCCATTGGAATCATCAAAGTGACTAATTTATCATCTCTGCTGTTCTTGAAAGAGTGCAGATACTGACAACACACCAAGAATCATAATATTAGGCCCTTTAACCCAAATTTACATTTCTAGGAATCTGTCTTAAAAAATTAGTTAGAATTGCTTGGGCATGGTGGCTCATTCTAATAATCCCAGCACTTTGGGAGACTGAGGAGGGAGGATCACTTGAGCCCAGGAGTTCAATATCAGCCTGATAAACATATCAAGACTTCATCCCTACAAAAAAAAAAAAATTGAAAACTTAGCTGGGTGCATTGGTATGCACCCTAGTACAGCTAATGGGAAAGATAAAGTGGAAAGATCTCCTGAGCCCAGGAGGTTGAGTCTGTGGCAGTGAGCCATGATTGTGCGACTGCACTCCAATCTGGGCAACAGAGTGAGACTTTAACTTAAAAAAAAAAAGAAAAAATAGAATTACTAACAAAAATTTACATACAAGATACTCAGTGCAGTGATAGAGCTATGTTTTCAAAATATTAAAATCAAAATCTGAATGTTCGATAGGGAATAATTAAGATTTCCATGATGTACTATTATATAGTATTTAAAAATAATGTCTTAAAGTGTGTAATAATAATAGGAAATGCTTATTACTAAGCAGATTTTACATAGTGGAGTCCCGAGCGTGTTTTAAAACTGTACCCGGAGCCTGGTGGTATTAGCTGTGGCCCCTCGGTACTGGGCACTGGACTCCTTGTGCTCTTCATCTTCGGTAGGAAGTGACATGCACTGACACTTCCCTTCTTGGGTTTCCATTTTCTTTTACAGTCTTAGGTTTATAAAATTTTGCCATGTAGCTAGGACAGCACACTTTTGGTTTGGCTCAGAGTCTCATATACAGATTCTTGATAATGTTAAGTTACCACCAAGTCTCAAGACGTATTTATTCCTTTTGGAGATTCCCTGGGAAGGGGTGGGAGAGCAGGTGAGGGCAGCTGTTCACATGGTGCAGCTGTTTGTGTCAGAGCGTGTGTGAGCACCTGAGCTTAGGTCACCATGTCATCCCTGGGTAAGATGTTTAGGTGAGGTTTCAACTTGATTTTTCAATTCCTTGATCCCTTATGAAATGTTTTTGTAATGTGTGAGTGACTTGAAATGCAAGTAACTGTGACCTTTAAGCAGAGAAGGTGGGCTTGCTGGTGAGAACTGACAGACTTTGGAAACTTTTTAGAATGTTAAAGTGGAATCCGGAGATCCCAGGGGTACTCTGAGTCATCTTTACAGAGAACTGAAATTTCTCCTTGTAAGTATCCTTGTGAAATTCCTGACTTTCAGTAAATTTCATGTTTTCACAAAAAGTTTTAGTACTATCACTTTTACTTAGTTTTGTGTTTTCAGAATGTTCTAAATGTCATGTATTCCTTTTTTTTTTTTTTTTTTTGAGTTGGAGTCTCACTTTGTCACCCAGACTGGAGTGCAGTAGCCACTTCCAGCCACTGCAGCCTCGACCTGCTGGGCTCCGGCGATCCTTCCGCCTCAGCCTGCCAAGTAGCTAGAACTACAGGCGCGCGCACTACCATGCCCGGCTGATTTTTTATTTATTGTAGAGATGAGGTCTTGCCAAGTTGTCCGGGCAGGTCTTGAACCCGCGGGCTCAGGCAATCCACTCACCTCAACCTCCCAAAGCACAGGATTACAGGCTGAGCCACCGAGCCCAGCTGTTGTCATATATTCCTTAGGTTGTCTGGGCAGTCTGGTTTTACTCATGGGGTAGTTGTCCTACAACTGAAGGGCACATTAGCGAGTGCGTGCGTATACCTATATATTATTTTTACATGAACTCCCATTCATTTTTGCATTTATTTATCATGTTCCAATTATTTAATCTGCTTTGTTGGTCCTTTTTTGCCAAATTACAGGTGTCTTTCAGGCAGGCCCAGAGTCCTCCGTTGTGAATCCTCTGTAGCTCATGTGCACAGGGCCCCATTGCTAGAATACACCATCTTTGGGGTCAGACCATTGGGTGTATCACAATACTGTCAGAATATATAAAATGAGGATAATAGTAATATCTACCTCGTAGAGTTTGTTTTTAATTGAGTGACATACAACATATAAAGCACTGTAACAGTGCTCGAATGTGGTAAACACCCAGGAAATGTTACTGAAATTAGTATTACTATTAAACGCACTCTAATTGATTAAATCATGTTTTCCATAACCAGTTTTGGGGTTTTTAATCTCCCACAGGTTTTGGCTGATGGCTTGAGGACCGGTGTGACTGAATGGCTCGAGCCTTTGGAAGTGAAGTCTGCTGTTGAACTTGTGCAGGAATTTCTGAATGGTAGTTTGTTTTTTAATTGAGAATTTATACTTGGTATATTTCATATAAGTTATCTCTTTAGGCATGGTATTCTTTTTGGTTGGTGGATGTGTAAAGCTGTGAGCACTCTTATGGTCAGAGGGACAGCTTTGAAGTGCTAACGTGAATATCTAGGTAATTCTAAACTTAATAAGATAGAATTTAAGATTTATGCCACAGAAGCTTATTGGAGATTGCAGGAAGAGGGAATGGAGCAGTAACCTTTGCTACTTACCCTGGGCCCAATGTGAGCATCGCGTTGGGCCTTCCTGCTCCCTCTGTCCATCCTCACACCCCTACCTAGGGGGTGCCTGTTTGTACCTCCTTGGAGAGTTCAGGAATTTGCTAAGATCCCCAGTTATACTTCTATCCTTATTTACTGTTAGAAAATAGGATTAGGATGGAAATAATTTAGAAAGGAGGAAAATAAAGTAAAAAATTAATAAACTTTTTCCACATTCTAGACTTAAATAAGCTGGATGGATTTGATGATTCTACAAAAAAAGACACAGAGGTAAGTGATTATCACCAGTTAGAAATTTACGCTGAAGCCGGGCTCGGTGGCTCAGCCTGTAATCCTGCGCCTTTGGGAGGCTGAGGTGAGTGGATTGCCTGAGCCCGCGGGTTCGAGACCCGCCTGGGCAGCGAGACCTCATCTCTACAATAAATCAAAAAATCAGCCGGGCGTGGTAGCGCATGCCTGTAATTCCAGCTACTTGGAAGGCTGAGGCGGAAGGATCGCCAGAGCCCAGCAGGTCGAGGCTGTGGTGGCCGGGAGCGGCCATTGCGCTCCAGTCTGGGCGACAGAGTGAGACTCCAACTCAAAAAAAAAAAAAAAAAAAAAAATAAGAAAGAAATGTACACTGAAGCCGGGCTTGGTGGCTCAGCCTGTAATCCCGCGCCTTTGGGAGGCTGAGGTGAGTGGATTACCTGAGCCTGCGGGTTCAAGACACGCCTGGGCAACTTGGTGAGACCTCATCTCTACAATAAATCAAAAATTAGCTGGGTGTGGTAGCGTGTGCCTGTAGTTCCAGCCTTTGGAAGGATCGCCGGAGCCCAGCAGGTCAAGGCTGCGGTGGCCTGGAGCAGCCACTGCACTCTAGTCTGGGTGACAGAGTGTGACTCCAACTCAAAAAAAAAAAAAAAGAAATGTACACTGAAGAGGAGGAGAATGTCCCCTATGACCAAGGCAGAGACAGAAGTGTCGTGACTGTACGTCAGGTGGGGAGGGTTCTCCTGGATCTCAGAGGGAGTGTGGCCCTGAAACACCTTGGTTTTGGATTCTAGCATCCAGAACTGTGAGATGATAAACTTCTGAGATTTTAAGCCACCTGGTTAACGGCAGCCCTGGCAAGCAAATATCAAGGCCAAGTGCTGAAGCAGGCTGGGTCAGAAGGCTACTGTATTGGCTTCAGGGAGCAATGGCGCTGGCAGGGACTCATCTTCCTAGACACTTCTGTACTGGCCCTCCACAGCCACCATGCTAGTGCAGGAGACAGCAATGATCAAGTCAATGAATTAGCCAGTTCCATGGTGAGAGGTGGACATTCCTCATTCTTTACCATTACTGTAATTTCCTCCACCCCTTAAAGTAGTTAATGGAAAAGTTACTACTCAACCCCTGATTTCAGTTTCTCCTAAAAAAAAAAACCAAAAAACCTAACACAACAAAACTGTAAATTAATTTTATCATAAAACTATAATATGAGGCCTGGTATAGTGTCTCATACCTGTAATCCTAGCACTTTGGGAGGCCATAGGGGGAGGATTACTTAAGCTCAGGATTTCAAGACCAGCCTGGGCAACATAGCAAGACTTCGTCTGTACAAAAAGTTTTAAAAATTAGCTGGGTATGGTGGAACATGCCTGTAGTCCCAACTACTCGGGAGCCTGAGGTGGGAGGATTGCCTGAGCTCAGGAGATTGAGACTGTGGCAAGCCATGATCATGTTACTGCACTCCAGCCTGGGCATCAGAGTGAGACCCCAACTCAAAAGAAAAAAAGAGAAAAAAGAACTGTACACTGGATAGCTGCTGAGCTTTGGTTGTCCTGATGTCTTCCATGTTGTGCCATCTCAAATGGGCAGCATCTTAGTGGGTTTTTGTTGGTCTTTAATATCAGCACTGGTTATTGTTTTGCTTAATAACATCAATGTTTTTAAAGAGAGAGAACTGATATATGTGCATTATTAGTTGCTCAGTTGCAGAGAAGTAGAAATGAATATGTCATATGCTATAAGATGGTATTCCTATAGTATGTTCATATACTGTAAGATATTAAATTAATTTAAATGTGTTCTTGTCTGATGAATAGGAAAGTGCAGGTTAAGGTAATTTATTTTATTTTTTTGAGTCAGAGTTTCACTTTGTCACCCAGGCTGGAGTGCAGTGGCACACTCACGGCCACCGCAACCTCAACCTCCTGGTCTCTGATACTTCGACCTCAGCCTTCCAAGTAGCTGGAACTACAGGCATGCACCACCATACCCAGCTAATTTTTATTTTTTATTTATTGAAGCGATGAGGTCTCGCCAAGTTGCCCAGGCTGGTCTCGAACCCATGGGTTCAAGCAGTCCTCTCACCTCGGCCTCCCAAAGTGCTGGGATTATAGGTATGAGCCACTGCACCTGGCCTAATTTAATATTTTTTATGTGGAAGGAACGCTGAATGCTCACTTTGGACAATACAGTTTTAAAAACCATTCTGTGGGTCCAGTTTTTCACTACATATTAATTTGTATTTCCTCAGTAGCAAGTGTAGTTGTGGAAAATGCATTCCTATCTTGTGTGTGTGTTCACAAATTCATGATCTCTAAGTGCAGCATTTGAAAGCTGCAATTACTTCACTAAAAAAGATAACCTGAATCTTGTCAGATGTCTCCTTCCTTTCTAGGCTGTGAAGAATGATGCTGCAGCAGTTGATCGCTCCGTCGAGCGTCTTTTCAAAGTGCGGGGTGACCTCGATTTTGCCGAGCAGTTGTGGTGCAAAATGAGCAGTAGTAGGTGTCCATGGTTACAGTTCTCCCTGTTTCTTAAGTTCATTTTAAGACTTTTGGAAGTCATGCCGTGTGTATCGCTCATCTTGTGCGGGATTCAGGGTCCTGTTCATCTAGGTCATTTTTTTTTTTTTTTTTGGAGTCAGAGTATTGCTGTATCATCCAAGCTGAAGTGCAGTGGCATGCTCACGGCCGCCACAGTCTCAACCTGCTGGCTCAGGTGATCCCTCTGCCTCAGCCTTCTAAGTAGCTGGAACTACATGCTGCCACACCCAGCTTATTTTTCTTTATTTATTGTAGAGATAAGGTCTCGCCAAGTTGCCCAGGCTGGTCTCGAACCCATGGACTCAGACAATCCTCTCGTCTCAGTCTCCCAAAGTGCTGGGATTATAGGTGTGAGCCACTGCACACAGCCTTATCTGAGTCATTTCTAACAGTGCATTGGCACATTCTGTTGAGGAGTGGAACTACAGCAAGGCAGCTCAGAGAAGCTGTTCTCCTACCTTCTTAAGCGTAAGACTTGGGTAGTTTTATGTTATATTGGTATGAACCAAAACATATACATTAGGGAAATTATAATTATTGGAAAAAAGAAAAGACATTCTTTAATATTTTGCTAATATTTGATTATCTGAATTTGACTTAATTCTTTAGAAAAGCACGCAATTTTTTGGTCCCTTTAATTTTTTTTTTGAGTTGGAGTCTCACTCGGTCGCCCAGACTGGAGTGCAGTGGCTGCTCCCGGCCACCGCAGCCTCGCCTGCTGGGCTCCGGCGATCCTTCCACCTCAGCCTTCCGAGTAGCTGGAATTACAGGCATGCGCTACCACGCCTGGCTGATTTTTTTTTTATTTATTGTAGAGATGATGTCTCGCTGCCCAGGTGGGTCTTGAACCCGCAGGCTCAGGCAATCCACTCACCTCAGCCTCCCAAAGGCATGGGATTACAGGCTGAGCCACCGAGCCCGGCTGGTCCCTTTAATTTTGTTCCCTGTGCCCCATCCATAAAGTATGATTTCTTGTTTTCTGCTTTATTTGTGCATCCTTAAGATTCATGACACATTTGATCTACAGAAATACCCTAAAAATAATGTGAGACTGACTTGTTTTCAAGGTGTTATTTCCTACCAAGACTTGGTGAAGTGTTTCACGTTGATCATCCAGAGTCTGCAGCGTGGCGAGATCCAACCGTGGGTAGGTTCATATGTGTGAGACATGTTCTGGGCAGTGTGGCGAGATTCATCCATAGGTAGTTCATAGCAGGGCAGATGACCTGAGTGTGAGCTCCAGCTCTACTGCTTTCTAGCCATGTAAACTTGGGCAGGTTTCTTTACTTCTCTGCCCCAGTGTCCTCATCTGTAATATAGAGGTAGGAATAGAACCTACTTCATGGTGGTGTTTCAGGATTAACTAATTTAATCTGCATAAAGCACCTGAGCTCATAGTGAAACGCTCATTATGTGTAAGCTACTAATACTGTCACAACTGTTGCGATGAGTGAGTATTCTCATATACTACTTGGGACACTCTAAGAAGCAATTCTGTTCATGTATTGGGATCCTCAAAACGTATCCTGGCCTTGGAACCAGGAATTCTTTTGTTAGCATCCACGCTGAGCTCATCCACAGAAACACATGCCAAGCATTTATGTATCAGAATAGTCATCACAACCTCATTTACAGTAACACAAGTTTGTAAATGACCTGGATTTCTCTTGTTAATGGAAGAGCTAAGTAAATGACGATACAGCCACATGATGGCACATGAGATCCTTGCTGAAAATGATGCTGACAGATGATAGGGAGAAATGCTTACAGGGCTCAGTAAGAAGAAAGGAGCATGTGTGGTTGTATACAAATGTAGATTTGGAGAGAAACATCTGGAACAAGTATTCTAAGATCTTAATAGCACTTGCCTCTGGTCGAGGGTTACAGATGACTTTTCCCAACTGTATGATACATTTCTGTGCTTTATGAATTTTCCATGGTGACTTTGTGCTACTTTTATAATCAAGAAAGGGCTAAGACTGAGCGTGGTGACTCAAGCCTATAATCCCAGCACTTTGGGAGGTTGAGACAAGAGGTTACCTGTGCCCAGGGGTTCTAGACCAGCCTGGGCAACTTGGTGAGACCTCGTCTCTACAATAAATAAAAAAATTACCCAGGTTTGGTGGCGCACACCTGTAGTTCCAGATACTTGGAAGGCTGAGGCAGAAGAATCGCCTGAGCCCAGCAGGTTAAGGCTGCGGTAGCTGTGAGCGTGCCACTGCACTCCAGCCTAGATGACAGAATGAGACTCTGACCCAAAAAAAGAAAAGAAAAGAAAAGGCTAAGCAAAAAGTTAGAAGGATTTCTTATATAATAGGATTATTTCACACAATGTGTGACCCCTTGACTGTAGACATTGGAAACTGTCACAGGTGTGAGCAGAGGTTCTCCAGAGCAGGAGAGGTGGGCCCTGCCTGCCTGTGTGCCAGCTACTCCGGGCATTTCAGTTTTGGCCACTGAATTTTCCTCTTGAGAGTTTCTGTGTTGTGAGATATTTGTGAACTGTTAAAAAGGATAACCCTATCAAGTACTACCATGTACTATGAATGCAAACAAAGTGAAACTAGTTGTATTTTTTAAGAAAAAGATAACGTGAAAGGTTATGATGAAAGTTAAAATAGAGAAATAGAAAGTGGTGGGAAAGTGGTAAGTATTTTTTGTACATTTATGATGAATTGTCTAACATTTGAAACACATATTACATCTATAAGTTCATAACTCAGCTCTTTTTATTTTGAAATTATCAAACTAGTATGTTGGATATTGCAACTAATAAGGAGCTCCAAAGTGAATTTGTGCTGCTTTTATAATCAAGAAAAAGCCAAGTAAAAAGTTAGGAATGCTTCCATCAGAGGTGACTGCTGTTAAGATTTTAGTGTAGCCGGGCTCAGTGGCTCAGCTTGTAATCCCGCGCCTTTGGGAGGCTGAGATGAGTGGATTGCCTGAGCCCGCAGGTTTGAGACCCGCCTGGGCAGCAAGACCTCATCTCTACAATAAGTCAAAAAATCAGCCGGGCGTGGTAGCGCATGCCTATAATTCCGGCTACCTGGAAGGCTGAGGCGGAAGGATCACTGGAGCCCAGCAGGTCGAGGCTGCGGTGCCTGAGAGCGGCCACTGCACTCCAGTCTGGGCGACAGAGTGAGACTCCAACTCAAAAAAAAAAAAAAAAAAAAAATTTTAGCCTATTTGTTTCTAGGTTTTTCTCTCCAAAATCTACATTTTTTACAATTGCATGCATTCCTTTCTTTTTATTGAACTTGTAAGCATTTCTCCACATCATTTGTCAGCATCATTTTTAGCAACTGTTACATGTGTACACAGCATGCATGGGCTGATGACAAGTGCCTGCAGCCTGCATGGACTGATGACATGTGCATGCAACACGCCTGGGTTGATGACATGTGGCTGCAGCATGCATGGGCCGTTGACATGTGCCTGCAGCATGCGTGGGCCGTTGACATGTGCATGCAGCATGCATGGGACATTGAGGGGGAGAGAGTTTGTTTTCCTGCGGCAGCTGATGTTTTTATGAAGATGTTCAGCTTTGGAAAAGTTCAGTAATGCTGAACTCCTCCAGGAGGAGAAATTTCTGTTGCAGAGCTCCGGGGGCCCATCTCTGACTTCCCCGATGGAGTTGTGTCCAGGGATGACCCTTCTTGGTGCTTTAGATTTAACAAGCAAGTGAAGGAGGATGTGCTTATAGCTTGAGAGCTTTTACAAACAATTTGTTTTACAGTGTCAGGAGACTGCAGGTACAGGCCTATACTTCAAGTGTAGGCCAGGACTGCGAGTGCAGGCCTATACCACGAGTGCAGGCTTATACAGCAAATGCAGGCTAGTACTGCAGGTGTAGACCTATACTGCGAATTCAAGTTTATACTTCATAGCTTGTAGATAATTGAGTTTGCTTCTCTTCCACCTATTGGATTTACTCATATTTTTATTTATGATTTATAAAATTGTCTTGATTTCCAGCTCCACAGTGGGAGTAACAGTTTACTGAGCAGGCTCATTCATCAGTCGTACCACGGAGCCATGGACACTGTGTCTCTCAGTGGGCCTGTTCCAGTTCAGATGCTCTTGGAAATTGGTTTGGACAAACTAAAGAAGGATTATATCAGTTTTTTCATAGGTAAGTCCCTTTCCCAGCTCAAAACTAAAAAGCACACCACAGTTGTCAGCTGTGGACATCCCCAGTTCTCTCTACTAGTCCCAGTCCTGCAGTCCTGGCATTTTTCTTCTCTGTGCCTTAGTGACCCCCTTGATAAAGACATCAGATTCAGCCGGGCTCGGTGGCTCAGCCTGTAATCCTGCGCCTTGGGAGGCTGAGGTGAGTGGATTGCCTGAGCCCGCGGGTTCGAGACCCACCTGGGCAACTTGGCGAGACCTCATCTCTACAATAAATCAAAAAATTAGCTGGGCGTGGTAGTGCACGCCTGTAATTCCAGTTACTTGGAAGGCTGAGGCGGAAGGATCGCCAAAGCCCCAGCAGGTCTAGGCTGCAGTGGCCGGGAGTGGCCACTGCACTCCAGTCTGGGCGACAGAGTGAGACTCCAACTCTGGGAAAAAAAAAAAGACATCAGATTCAATATGGCTACCATTTTTCATGTTTATTTCTTTGTTTTTAGTTCAAACACTTGAGATTCTATGATGTCAGTTTATGGATAAAAAACTATTTTATGAGATGCTGTTTTAGTACCTAGCACTTATGGTTTTTATCAGGGGCAAGCTAATGTCATTTTTAGAATAAATATTACTGTATATTTATGTTGTGATATACCAGAATACTCGGCCTTTTGTGAGGAACTAGTTTGATTGTCTCTTTCATGTATGAACTATGAAACAGTTTATGTATGTTCCTTAACATGTAATAGTACCTAAAACTTATTTGCACATATGTGTTTTTTCTTGATAGGTCAGGAACTTGCATCTTTGAATCACTTGGTGAGTTTATGTTTTTATTATAAAGTTAGTTTTTCTTTTATGTAGTCATTCTGCATTCAGCTATTAAGTACCTCTCTAATATGCCAAACTCTGTCCTTGGTCTTGGAAAACAGATAAATAAGACAATCCATGCCCTTAATTATTACTACCTAGTAAGGCAGACAAGAAAGCAGGTAATTTAGTGTGATTTTCCTTTCTCTATAAATCATACAATAACTGATACATAGTTGTATCCTACTCATGCTAATGTACTACCACAAATCCTATTTATCTAGAATGCTTAGGGAATGCCTTTCTTTGATAGGCCTTATAAAGGAATGTTTGGGGGCCAGCATGGTGGCTCACCCTTGTAATCCCAGAGCTTTAGGAGGCCAAGGTGGGGGAATTACTTGAGGCCAGGAGTTCAAGACCAGCCTGGGTGACATAGCGAGACCCCCATCTCTACAAAAAATTAAAAAGTGAGCCAGGCATGGTAATGCACACTGTAGTCCCAGCTACCTGAGGGCCTGAGGCTTTTGTGATAGCATTTAAAACACATTGTACAGCTGTATAAAAATATTTTCTTTCTTGAGATCATTGTATATGAGCTTTTTTCCCTACTTTTAAATTTTTAGATTTTTATTTGTTAAGCTTTTTTATTAATAATGAAGGCAGAAACATACACATTAGTCTAAATCTACACAGGATCAGGATCGTCAATATCACTGTCTTCACCTCCACGTTTTGTCCCAATGGAAGGGGACAGCATGGAGCCATCATCTTGTGATAATACCTTCCTCTGGAGTGCATCCTGAGGACCTGCCTGTGGCTGTTCTCAAGGAGTTGGTTTGTTGACACCACTAACATCACAAACACCTGAGGAACACCTTGCACTAGGGAATTTTTCAGGTCCATTGTGAGTTTATGGGACCACTGTCAGGTGTAGTCCACTGTGGACTGAAATGGCACATCTGCAGTTTAGTTTGAAGAATAGTACTGAAAGGCAATGAGTTCTATCCAGCTGCCTCTGGTCTTTTTTAAAATCCCTTTTATCAAGCATCCCAACTTATATGTGGCGGGCATACCTTTATTCTTTCCAGATAATATATTTTAAATCTCTAATTTGCGTTTACTTTTTCACTCCAGGAGTACTTCATTTCTCCAACGGTAGAGATACAAGAACAGGTTTCTCGTGTTCAGAGACTCCACCATATTCTAGAAATACTAATCAGTTGCATGCCTTTCATTAAATCTGAACATGAATTCCTCTTTTCTCTGACACAGTAAGTACTTCTCTATTGTTTGCTTACATAGAAATGTATTCTCTGAAATAGTTACTGCCAAAGTATGACCAGTTAGGATAGACCCTGTTTACCCTCTTTCCGTAGCATGGGTCTAAGTGAATGTCATCAAGGAAAGGTTTTGGATACAAGAGGAGTCAGGGTCGACCCTGGCTTTGTTGCTTCCACTGAGTCTTTTTTCTTCAACTATGAAGAGGATCTAATGACCTTGTATATTTTGTGAGGGTTAAATGATGTGATAGATATTAAGTACCTGACTTTTAATAGGTGCTTAACAAGTATTTGTTTCTTTTCTTCTTTACATCCTTATATATTTGGGCCAAAAATCAATACTATTCATCTCTGATAATTATAATGATTAAGAATCAAATAGTCTTACTAGACCTCTGTCAATGGCATTGCTGTGGTTAGAGGTTGCCATTAGTTTGACTGAAGATAGTTTGGAATCACCCTTACACATGGAACGTGGTATCTTGTATGTATTCGAGGCCTCAGATGGAAAGTAAATAAACCAGCTAGTGGGAGGACTGGGTTTCTTTTCCCTATGGAAGCAAGTGTACCTTATATCTTCCCAAATGAGAATTTACCTCCGTTGTGAAGGGTAAAGTTTGATGTTGTCATTGTTTACAGAATCTCAAAGGTTTTTATTTCCACTGAAAATCTGTGGTATTAACGAGTTAACTCTTTAATTTCCTGGACTCTGGAAACCACAGAGGCCATGCCTCATCTTTTTTCTGCCTCTGTGTGTTTCTATCTGATGCCTCTTTTTCTCTGCAGTGAAGCCTTTATTTGGGCTCAAGTATATTTTATATTTGTGAGAAGTGTGTCTATTAATTTGTAAAATGTAAATGAGATTTCCTTTCAAATAAAAGAACACTTTAGCCTACCTTTTGTTTGGAGGTGTTGTTAGCGTGTGTTGACTTAGTGCTGTTATAGTTGTACTGGATACAGTGTTTCCTTGTGAGCCTTAGACTGCTAGAAAGCCTTGTCTCATGACTGTTTTCCAAAAGAGGTTCCTCTTGTTTCAGAATCTGCATACGCTATTATAAGCAGCATCCTCTGGATGAGCAGCACACGTTCCAGCTGCCAGTCAGGCCAGCTGCTGTGAAGAACTTATATCAAAGGTCAGCAGTTTAATAATTATGCCTTCAGTCGCCTGCCATTCGAGACAGTCTTGGTGTCTGTGTTCTGTGAGGACCTTGTGGCGTGGAGCTGTGTCACCTATGAAACCTGGATTATCTGTGTCCGGCTTTCTGACCATCTTCTCCCTGAGTCTCCCTCCTCCTCCTGGACTGTGTCCACTCCCTCTAGATCGTCTTACATTTTTCTCTTAATTTCTTGTTTCTTCAGAGAAAAGTGGGAAGAATAGCCAGAATGGAAATGACAGATGAGAAAATGATGAGAGTGATGACATCTGGGGATGACGGGGGAGGGTATAGGCTAGGGAGGCGCGGGCTGTGACGCTGAGGTATAGGCTGGTCATCACGTGGACACGGAGTCACTGCCATGGTGATCACCCTGCCTCTGCCCTCAGTTCCACACTACGTGGACGGTCTCCCTCTGTTTAGGTCCCTTGTAGCCCAAGGGCTCTCCCATCACTGGCTCTGGCATGGCTCTGGTGGAGTCGCCAGTAGCCTCCCAGTTGCCAGATCCAGGGGTGCCTGTTTGCTGCTAGAACAGTTCTTTCCCCAAGCCTTGCTTGTTCTACCTATTTCTTGTGGGAGTTTTGCCTGGAGTCCTGCCAGTGCCCTTTTCCTCCTTCCTGTCCCCTGAGATGACTTCCTTAGTACTCAAAGCTTCAGCTTCTCTGGGCTGGTGCCAATTCACTCCCACATCTCTAGATCTCCTGTTGTAGACTGCAGATCCTGGTTCTAGAAGCCTCCTAGACAAGAGCCCATGGAACTGAAGCCACAGCCAGGCAGCTGGCACCGCCTCCCCTTCCCCTGGCTCCCCACTCGGACTCAGCACTCAAGGGACCATCATCAATTGCCATCTAACACCCAAAGCAGAGCCCAGTACTTGCCCATCCCTCCTGTCTCCTTAGAGGGTTACGATCCAGACCTTCCTATGGTTCTCAGACCCTTCCTTTTCTCTGCGTCTTCACGTCATGTATTTCACATCTGCGTCATCTCCTGCCTGGACTGTGGCCAGACTCTTTCCTACCTGTCCTCTCTGCCTCCGTTGTCTTATGCCAGTGGCTCCTGTTTCCACAGGACAGTGCTCAGCTAGGTCCGACCCCTTTCTGCCCATGTGCCACCATGCTGTCCCACGCACCTGCCACTCTCCCTTCCGGACCTCGTCTGCTGCCTGACTCCTTGTGATGTCATTCTCAGCATAGACACCACAGGCTCTGAGGAGTCTTCCAGCTCTGTGTCCCCAGTCCAAATCAGAAACTTGTCTCCTGCTGTCCCTTGAAATGTCCAGTGTTTCTTTTTTTTTTGAGTTGGAGTCTCCCGGCCACCGCAGCCTCGACCTGCTGGGCTCCAGTGATCCTTCCGCCTCAGCCTTCCAAGTAGCTGGAATTACAGGCATGCGCTACCACGCCCGGCTGAATTTTTGATTTATTGTAGAGATGAGGTCTTGCCACATTGCCCAGGCAGGTCTCAAACCCACAGGCTCAGGCAATCCACTCACCTCAGCCTCCCAAAGGCACGGGATTACAGGCTGAGCCACCGAGCCCGGCTCCGTGTTTCTTTGTGGTTCTCTTTTTTCCACTGGAGTGTTGCTTGTGTTCCTGCCTCGCTTCTCTCTCACCTGGACTTGTGGAGGGCAGGAGCTGATCCTCTTCTTCAGTGCTTGTCACGTGAGGACTTGTCTCGGTGACTCTGGAAGGGAGGAAGGGCATTGCTACACTGAAGGTTTTTCCTTTGTTTTCTTCTTTCCTTAGTGAGAAGCCACAGAAGTGGCGAGTAGAGATACACGGCAGTGACAAGAAGGTGAAGACTGTCTGGCAACTGAGTGACAGCTCGCCCGTGCGCCATCTGGACTTTCACAGACCTGGTGAGATGGCTCGTCATCTACTCAGATAAATTATTCCAATAGAGACAGCCTGAATCTTACCAGTAGAGATCATTATTATAACTCTGTGCCCAGTTTTAAAGAATTTTCCTGAACTCTAGGTGTAAAATACACATATTCTTTTTTTTTTTTTTTTTTTTGAGTCTGAGTCTCACTCTGTCGCTCAGACTGGAGTGCAGTGGCCGCTCCCGACTACCGCAGCCTCAACCTGCTGGGCTCCAGCGATCCTTCCACCTCAACCTTCCAAGTAGCTGGAACTACAGGCGCACGCTACCATGCCCAGCTAATTTTTGATTTTA